CACACACACACACACACACACATTTAGACAAGTTGTCATCCCAGAATGAGAATTTCAATATGGCGGCACACATCTGTCAGCCCCAGATTAGACTCTCCGTCTCTCCGTGGTTCTCGTCCAGCAGGTGACGTAAAGGTGTAGCACGTTTCAGAGCGAAGTGAATTACACACCTGACTCGTAGAAGTGTTTTTCTTTCCCCTCCCGTCTCAGCGACTTGTGTTGTGTGGCAGATATTTGTCAGCAACAATGTGGACAATGATTTGTGCTAAGTTTACACATTTAAACGACGCACACAGGGAGGACGAGTTTCAATCGGGAACACACACTCCTCGGTATCTATATCGGCACAGGACAAATCGATTTCTCTTCTCCTCGCACTGATAAACTCTGGCATTAGCTGTGTCTAATTCAAACCTCTATTGAAGTTTAAATTGCACGTTTCATGCACATAACCAACTCCAACCGTCTTTAATCACTGACAGGGACAATTGAAATGATTGCAGTGCATCTCCCACGTTCACACACAGACTGACAAAGATCACGGATCTCATCGGAATGGACACGTGTGCATTCATGCATGTGTGCGTGTGCTTATGCATTGCAGGTTTTTGTCGATTTATCAAGCCCATGAATAATAATAAGGCGCCCAGCGCAAAGTAATAGATGAGATTTTCAATGGTCGTCAGCTGTGTATTGTCGGAGGGAGGGTTGTTACACCTCTGCATAAGTAAGTACAGCAGCTTCTTTATAGCTAAGTAATTCACGAGGAGGCCGCAGCGACTGTGCTGAAGCTATTTCCACATTATCAGCCGAATAATTAACACCCCCTCCCCCCCTCCCTCCACTGTAGTCAGGCAGAAAGACACATGACATGGCCAGAAGGTAAGCTGCTGAGGAATGTCATGTCAAAATACCCAGACGACTGCAGTCCTGTATCGAAAAGTTTACCGAAAGAAAAGTATGAAAAGAACAGAAAAAGTTCTTCCTGCTGTTCCTGTGACTGATGTATTATTATTAACATTAACACTGTGACAGTAATGGATGTTTTCGTGTCCGTGTGCAAGCTGCGTTTCACTGCTGGTTTGACCCATTTTACACACAGTTAGTCGAGTACTTCCGAGCATAAAGTTCTGTCTCCTCCAGAGATGAATCTGGGAGCCGGTGGGATGATAAATGAGAAAGGAAATAAGAAGAATACACCCTGCTACAAATCTATTATCTTATTTTAGGTGAATCATTGACTTCTTCTATTGCAGAGTGGTTTTATTTTCTTTTTCATTTTAATTTAATCGCCGTAGCTGCGCTCTCTTCTGGGGATCGAACCACCGGCTGGTTAGTGGACGACTCTCTCTATCTCCAGCAGCCTGTGTTGAGTATGTTGAGCACATAGTGTCCTGCAGCATGAATTCGCAACCAGAGACACTGTGATACTTTCTGTGATTACTATCCGTGGCTCACTGTCGTATTCTCATTTGAGACGCCCCCGTATTTTGCAGATGATGCGTTGAATCCACGAGCGACGAGGATTGCGTTGACCTCTCCGTGGACTCGCTGCGTGGAGGCTCAGTGTCTGCAGGATTACCTGAAAGTGTGTTGCTTATTTTCCCCGACTTTTGTGGAATTTCCATCCCCACTTCAGAGTTTGTGGATTTGTATCAGTGTGTTTGTGGAAGGGGTTTTGAAATAATCCGTGAAGATATTTCAGTCACAATACCAGTGGGGCCTAACCCCTGACAAGCCTGTTATTCCTGTTCCCTGCTGCTGGGGGAAGGTTCAGACGGAGTGAGCCTTCAAGTGAGGAGTCATTGTACTTTAAACTGAAGAGCATTACGCAACAAACGGCTTCAGCATTGAACCCAGTGCACGCAGGTGTCAGGCCGAGCAGGTTCCATCCATCTGATCCAAATTTATACCGATTCTTAAACCGGAGAAGGTCGTGTGTCCTATGAGCTGGTGGCACGTAACAGGTGAAGATGGTGTTCAGGCTCTTGATCCAGAATATGAGCTGAAATCCACTGTGTCCGCACATGAAGCTGACCGTGGGTCAGTGTTGTTGTTGCTAAACAATGATTCATCAAACGTGTTGGGTATAAATCAGAGCCTTGGTCCGTCACCGCTGAGAGAAACAGGCATGAGAGAACCTCGGTCCATATTCAACACAGCGGACTGTTGGTGTTGGTTTATTGTAAAAGACACAAACAGGAACACAACCACTCATATTATTATTGCCTTTTCAGTAATAATCAAGTGTTTGAGATACAAAATGTAATTTTTGTTTAACAACCACGCCTCCATTCTGCTCCTGTGGAGTCATCCAAGCGTCCGCATACTCCAACGACGCCATTTAAATACATATTTTTATCCTAAATGTCCTCCGGAGTCTACGTGTGGACATTGAACAGGGTTTAAACGACGTTGTTTCGAGTTGAATTTGAAAGACAGGGCTTATTGACCCCAGCAGCATGGAGGCATGTTGTGTTTATCTCTGTTGTTGTGCTGTTTTGTGAGGACTCAAACCTTTCACCCACCCTCCATCATTGCAGTGAGTAGATAGCGAGTGAACTTTCATTTTAAGATAAACCTTTAACTTCCTGCAGCAAACGTCTGTACTTTGCACGATCCCATCCTCGGGTTCTTATGGTATCTTCTACATATCTGATTTTTATTATTTTACTCGAGGGCTCGACAACAAAAAGCTGATCCAGGTTCTTTGCAGTGACAAAATTCTGCTCGTTGTTGTTTTGACCCATGAGATAAAGAAGCAACATTATTTATTTATTTTTTTGCGGGACTCGTGCAGCTGCGTGTCTCCAGGAAGTGAAGTGATCTCCAATCGGGCGGTCGCAGCTTTTATACGGCGGAGCTCCGGGTCCACGCCCCCCGCGGGGTCTCCTCCACTCGAACGGCCGAAAGTGATTCGCTCCTCTCGGCTGTCAGTCGCGCCCCATCCAGCGCCGCTTCCTGTGAGAGCCGCTCCGCACTGTGCGTTCAACTCGGGCTCCGGCATGGACACACGCTCGCTCCGCAACTTTCCACCGGAGATCCCCACGCCGTCGCTGAGCGTTCGACACCGATTCTGCGTCCGCGCGGACATGGACCTGTGAGCGGAAACCCACCGACCACGAGCCCGACGCGACTTCACGCCGCCGTTCGAACCCGCGTGTGTTTTCTCGGAGTTGCTCGGAGGAAGAAGAGGAGAAAAATGCCCGTTGCAACTCTTCTGCCTTTCACCGCGACCCCGAGCAGGAAGTCCGCCAGTCCGACCTCCTTCAGGCTGACGGAGAAGTTCATCTTGCTGCTGGTGTTCAGCGCCTTCATCACCCTCTGCTTCGGGGCCATTTTCTTCCTGCCGGACTCGTCCAAGCTGCTCAGCGGAGTTTTCTTCCACTCCTCCGCGGTGGAGACCAACACCCGCACCGGTCCGGACAGCGGCGACTCGGGCTCGGCCGGGAGCGACGACCGGGTCCTGGCCAAGATCAAGAAGGACCACGAGAAGGCTCTGCTGGAGGCCAAGGACACCCTCCAGAAGAGACCCGACGAGATTAAACAGGACATCCTCAACGAGAAGGAGAAAGTTAACAAGGAGAGTTTGGCTCAAGGGGCGAAGGACGGCAATAATTTACCCTTCGTTGAGTACCACCGCCCGCCGGGGACGACCGGGCACGAACCCCTGGACCCAGAGACCAGGGACCGGCGGGCCAAAGTCAAAGAGGTAAGGCTGAGTGGAGTCAAACGTCACCCCAAACCCCCATTGACATCCCTCTCGTTTTTACTTCTCTTTCGCCTGGTGCTGTCGTTCTCCATCGCAGGACATAATTCAATACTGCGGAGGAGTCGCGAGTGTCCCCTCTACAATTCGGCTCATTTGTCACACACCAATAAACACTAGAAGCGATTGCAAAACGAACTTTTACCAAATGTTTGCCGTGTGTCCTGTGAGTGCGGCACACCGTCGCCAGCTGTGGCATCGAGCGCACGGCGAGAACACAACTTGTGCTTTTGCGCGGATCAGAGCTCCACACGGTGGATCACTTCCAGCCGAACACGGCAGAAACCCCTGTTGTGTTCAGGGGAATACATCCCCTCACACTGCGGGGTCGGCTTTCACCTGCCGGCGAATCTGACACGTCGATTTGGCGGATTTTTACACGTAGTTTGGCGTGACGCTCGTCGTTACGCGTGATTTAGCAGCAATCCAGCTCCTGAGGGGGGTGGGTGGGGGGGAGGAATGCATGCAGGATCCACCCCCACCGCCAGCCCCCCCCCGGGCTGGTCTACCTTAAGTTTCCCATGTCTGGATGACACAGGGGCGGAAGCAGAGCCAGTCCGGACCATGCTTTTACCTTCAAAAACCCTTCACACGTCCACATTTCATACATTCACAATGAGCTCCTGAGGATTCGGGTGTTTTGAAGGAGCCTGCAGATGCATGCAGCCCTGCAGCGGATTGTGTGTCTTGTGATCATTATTTAATGGAGTCATAACAATCGGCCTTTGCAGAGATAGTGTTGCAGTGCCCCTTGTATCTCTCTCTTCTGTGGCTTGTGTTTCCCCCCCTGATGTCCTCTCATCCCACGCTGTTCAGAGGCTTGCAGCCTGCAGCAGGATGCAACACACCAACAGGTAGCAAATGTGTGGTATGATTGTGTTTTGTCACAGCACAGTGTGTGTGTGTGTGTGTGTAGGGGATCCGGTGGAAAGCCCAGCGGTGGAGTCGCAGAGCTGGTTTCAGGTGTCAAAACAGGCTGCTGCTCTCACTCTACTGCTGTGATCCATGCTCTTCCAGTTTTTGGAATGAAAAGATCCTTTTATCTTATATTTGGTTTAGTTTCGTGAGAGCTGTCACACGGGGGCTCAAGGAGAGCAGCGGATTGATTGATTAGTCATTCCAGGGAGTCCTCTGGTGGTCTCACACAGAGGAGCATTGAGCGAGCGAGGAGATAAGGGACCGGTCTCCTGATTGAGCACATGTGGCTTGTGTGCAGACACTCAGATGGACTGATATTGGCCTTTCATTGAAAATCACTTGGAAGTCACATCTGTGTGGGTCATTGTGGTAGGAGATCACGTGACTGAGGTCAGGATATGAATTCTCAGAACATCCTCGGGGGGCGGCCGCATTGCTTCTGGTCAATATTCACAGAATGAAATATCACAATGATAGATGTTACTGACCTCCACACTGTGGACAATGCAGCAGTTTTCCTTATTGCCTTTTGTGCTTTCAGGAGGCAGTTGTATGTCGAAAGTATGAAAAACAATAATCGGTAAAGATCAATTAAGAGAAATTGTGTTGGAGAATCTATTCAGTAACGTATTACGCATTGACTAAAATGCCCTTTAATCTTCAGTCTTGCAGTAAAACATGATATTTTATCAATATATCTCTCATGGACGTGACTGTGCGTTGAATCCTGATATGATCGTTGCATGTGTTCAGTGTTACAGACACTGTTTGAAATGCAGGTGACGTTTCAGGCATCTCGGTGACATCTGCCGCCGCCCGAAGGTGAAGAAGCTCGGCTGTCGCGCTGACAACCACATGATCGTGGCCTTAAACGCATCACGCCCTCAAGAGGCCATCTTGTTTGCAAATAACAGGTTTCCAGTTGTGTGCGTCCTCCTGTCAGGTGCCCGTCGTCGCGTACGTTACATCACAGATGTCAAATCTGTTTGATGTCGTCTTGGCGGCGGTACGAAACACACAGTCCCACATCTGAGGAGCTACTTTTTTTTTTTAACGTCTTTAATCTGAAATTGTCGTTGTTTACTTTGGGGATACCTTTCCTCAGCGATGTGAATTTAAATCAGAGCCCCAGTTGCTTCCCTCCAAGTTCTTTGTTTTTAACTTTGTGTGACTTTGAAAACAACAATAGCAGCAAAAAAAAAAAAGGAGATGAGTCGACACAACAACACATTGGAAACTGTAATGGCTTGTTAAGGCAGCTGTCTGTGTTTATAAAGTACAGTGGAGACACAGATTGTCACCTTGCGTCTTTCTTTTTTTAAAATTTTCTCCATCAACAGCTAATGATTTCAGGAGAAAAAAACCAAGCGGGTGATTTGAACAGTAAAGTCTTCACCTGCTGATTCCCTCTAGATCGTCAGTATCAGAATTTGGGATTCAACATGTCTCCGGAGACAAAAACCAACGTAAGGTAATCAGTTGTGTGTTCGTTAATCGAGAGGATTAATGGCGATGACAGAGTTGTTTTGGTGACATCACATGCGGACGTTCATCGTCAGCGTATGCATTTCATCAGTAGCAGCTTCGTACAAATCAAATTTGCCTCAGTAGTTTTTTGAGGAACTCGTAATGGAAGGATTAAAGGAAGCCACAGTTGTTGATGGTAGAAGAGGTGTATTGATGTCTCAGTGATTTCCATCTCAAGGCCTTTAAGATTTTGCTGAATGTGCTCTTCTTGGAAGCAGCTTTCTCTGCTGGTTGATTGATATAATTTGCTCTTGTGAGTAATCTGGCATCACCTCATTGTTATTCAGATATTTGCAGCCCCTCAGGAGCACATTTGCACCTGAAAGCTCGAAGGTTTTCTGGCTCAAACCGAACTGGACCATGACTCGTCTGTTTTAGATTCTTCAGCACTTTCCTCTGCCGAATAAAAAAAAAAACCAAAAAAAAAAAAACAGCCACTCTTACATTCTACCCATGATGTCATGAAGTCGAGCCTTCTTAAATTATTTGAAGATAAAGTTCTGTGCTTCACTCCTCCTACGCCACCTCTTCCCCATCTGACCCAGTTATCCGGGGATCTGGCCCGTAGCGTGTTGCGGTCTCAGCGGGTTAGCGCTGTGTTTGTGATGGGCAGAGGACAGGCCACTGGGGCCACTCTGGGAAGGATAAACAGCTTGTTGTGAGAGCGACGGCCACAATTATACAATCAGCTAAATCTGTTTGTCTGCCAGGAATCAAAGGCTCTCCGGAGATCCCCCCCCCCACCTCCTCGCTGTCTGCGCTCTGGACTTTTCTCTTGGACTCAGAGAGGCTTTGGAGCGAGCGCGATGGGTGGTAATAATGAAAAGCGTTGCTGATAAACTGGGGGAAAATCAAGGAAGATTGGACGGATGCTGGAGCATCAGTGTTATCTGTTTGGCAGAAACAGGTTCCTGCGGTTCACTAGTAATTGTGGCGGCAAATTGGAGGCTGTTTGAACGAATACAACTTGAGTTTAAGCTGCGGCTGCACAGGAATAAGTCAAAGGCAACACACACGTGTGTTTGCTGCACTTCTTGTAATCACGCTTCCTGTATGAAAGTATCTGTGCCTGATGTCAACAGGTGCAGAAACTAGACTGTGGATCTCAGGAGGGAGAGAACTCTTCTGTAGTTTCATCTTGGTCCAGATTTCCTGTAGAAAGTTTTCCCGCCTGTATATTAATTCTCTTTATTGTTTTTTAATTTGTCCATAATTGGAATAAGTTCAATTTGTTGTCGTTATGACAGAGAAACGCTTCCACTCCTGATATTTGAGAAGCTCGAACTTGTTTGTTTGGCAACTAAATTGACAGAAAAGTTAGTGAATGATTTCTTGCCAGTCATTAAACTATTTCATGTTGTTTTACAAAAACTAACTATAAAAAAATGTATCTGCGTGTTAGGTATCAGCCAGATGCCTCCACTCCACTTTATGTATTTTAGTCTATATCAGGGCGACCTGCCTGACTCGATTTTTAAAGCCACTGCCGTCCCTGCCACCAGTTTAGCTCAGATAACGTAATCCCAGTGAGTGTCACAGTCGGTTTCGTCAGCAGACTGCAAAGGACGTTGGACCGTATCATTCATTCTCACTCAGAAGATGATATCTGCGACCGTGGTAAATGCACTGGCTGGTTCTGGGTCTTAACTGGCATTAATAGTGGTGTGAAAATCTGAAATTACACAGGAAATCCATTCCCCCTTCATGCTGGGGACACTCCCTCAGCGACCCCTGGGGATTCCTGGAGCTGCTCTAAGAACCACCGCTGGAGCTGCTGTATTAGTGGCAGCATTTTTTAAAAATATAATCATTAGACTTGTTGCTAATTAATAAACACAGACTCACTGCTGTTCTGTCTGACTCATCCTGCTGCTTGTGTGTGTGTGTGCGCGTGTGATGAGCTGCGTGTGTTTTAATTGAGCATTCGAGTCGCATTAAAGACAGTTTGTCTGCAGCATGTCATTGTTTCCAAACGCCTCCGCTGCTGTACGTCGCTATAACAATCCTCTTTTAGAATGGGACTTGCAGCATGCTCCTTGAAATGCATATAAGTACACAAACATGTACATGCTGGTCAGAGGATTGTGGATTAGAGAGTTTGTCAAGTTTTTCTCCGGCCATTTAAAACCGACGGTCAAGGAAAGATGAGACACCTTCCTTCCTTCCTTCCTTCCTTCCTTCATTCCCTCTCTGCCTCTTGTCCACTCATCCCTTCTGTTACCCCTCTCTTCAGGATTCACCATAGTTTGTTTTTTTTTAAGCCCACTCCCAGAGCAAATGTTCCGCTCTGTGTGGGTGTGTCTTTGCAAACAAGAGAGTGTGTGTGTGTGTGTTTTTAAAAATACAAACACTTCTGCTTCGCAAATCTTTAGAGCCTGAAATCAAATTCTCTGTTTCTGTCTCTTTCTCAGGAAGACATGGCCTCCTCTATGTCCAATTTCTGTATCGACTGTTTATCTGTCTATCTAATTGCCTCTGGTTCCCTGGACCCACTTCTT